TACTAATAAGAGCAATGCAAATATCTGCCAATAAATACCATTTTCTTCTATCAGGATGGTGAAGGTCAAAAAGTTTAAAGCCATTTTGGTAACAGTGGGTGAAAACTACCACTTTCATATATTACTAGTAGGGGAGTGAAGAATGGTCCTATCATTTTGCAGAATCATCAAAGAGGGCCATTTCTCAGGATCTATCAACATCTTTAAAGCACACACCTTTTGACTCAGTGTCTTCAGTTCTTGTTATTTATCCTACTGGTGTATGAAATGCAATTTTCTATTTGCAGTAGCAAAATGTTGAAAATATCCTAAGTGGTGACTAATAAATGATTAAATAAAATATGACATGTCCATATAATGGAATATCATTCAGCCATTAAAAATAATTAGACAGCTCCTGGTATAACTGATTATGAAAAAATCTTGAAAAAAGTACTTTTAAGGGGGAAAGCAAGATACAGAACACCGCATATGGTATGCTTCAATTTTTGAAAACAATGTAAAGCATATGTAGTTATCCACATACAAATAAAAGATTTCTGTTAGTATATGTGAGAACTGTTAGAATATATATATATAGCATATGTTAGAATATATATATGGTTTATGTTAGAATATATAGATACATGGTGGTTGTCTTCTGAGAAAAGAAGTGGGTGGCTTGCCGTGTGATGAGAGGGAACCGTAATTTTCACTGTGTGTATAATATGCAAGAATCACCTATTCAAAAATGATTTTTTAAGTTGAAAATAACTTTTTTTCATAAACCCATTGTATATTCTAGGAGCTTGCTAGACTGTCCACTGTAAACTTGACTGTCATTCAACTCATATGAAAGGCATTTGAGATAGACAGCATTTCTTAATCATCAGTAAGAAAAATGTGATCTTTCTTAAGTCATCTAAGAGTTACAGGCATATCAAGTTAGGTCACCTGCAGTCAGTGTAACTGAGGTATGTCTCATCATTAACAACATGGGCTATGAGTCTAACTTCATATCCTGCCACTTAGTAGCAGCATAATGGGAAAGTAACTGACTTAGCCTCTCTCTCCCTGAGGTTCCTTACTGGCAAAATACAGATAATATAGAGACATTTGGAAGATTTCATAACATTGTGCAAACAATGTGTCCACAAAAGTGCCTTTCAAAATTATTATTTCCTTCTTTCTACTTGCTTTGTGTTTAGTTTCTTCTATTGGTAAATGTGAGCTATAGTGCTTCCTATAAAATACCTTATCAAGTTATACCATTAAATTTATATTCTGAATTTTTCTTTCTTTCTTTTTTTTTTTCAGATGGAGTTTCACTTTTGTTGCCCAATGCTGGAGTGCAATGGCGTGATCTCAGTTCACTGCAACCTCCGCCTCCCAGGTACGAGTAATTCTCCTATCTCAGCCTCCCAAAGAGCTCAGATTACAGGCATGTGCTACCACGCCTGGCTTTTTTTTTTTTTTTTTTTTTTTTTTTGCATTTTAGTCAAGTTCAATGCAAGAAATAATTGTTTAAGGAACTGATACTGAATACATTATTCATTATGTTGTTATTTTAAAATATTTTTGACAGATATTTAGAATTTTATATCAGAAAAAATCCTTGTGAAGACAGTACAGGCTTTCATTAACCAGATAATACATGACTATCTTTTTTTTTTTTTTTTTTTCCAGAAAAGTAGAACTACCTTGCCATTTCCTTTGCTTAGTAATTTCTGGTCTAATTGCAATTATTATTATTTTTACTAGATGTTTAAATTAAAAGTACAATACATAACTCATACATTCGTATGGGAAAACAAAACTAAGAGTCAAATAGTACAGAAGGTTATATGATAGTAAATTTCTCACATCCTTCCCAAATTAACGTCTACAGCTTTGTGTATATCCTTCTGGAAATTTTGCACTTATATATTTACATAGGGGTTAATATGTGTATACATGCATGTGTCTATCCTTTAAAAAATAACACAAATGGGAGCATATTGTGTTCACAGTTTTGTTGTTGTTTTCTTGTTTGAAATAGGGTCTTCCTCTGTTGCCCAGAGTGGCATGCAGTGTATAATTAGGGCTATTGCATCCTCAGCCTCCTGGGATCAATCCATCCTCCTGCTTCAGCCTCCTGAGTAGCTGGGACTACTGGTACATGCTACCACATCAATTAATTATTACAGTTTTTGTAGAGACGGTTTTGCCAGGTTGCCTAGAGTGGTCTTGAATTCCTGGGCTCAAAGGATCTGCATACCTCTGCCTCCCAAAGTGCTGTAATTACAGGCATGAGCTAAGGCGCCTGGCCCATGTCCATGGTTTTGCACAAGTATTTTTACTTCACTTTGTCTTATACACCTTTCCATATTAATTTCTATTAGATCTCTCATTCTTTTTGCAGTTTCAGAGTTCTATTTATTGTTATTTGTTGAAAAAGCCTGTTGTTGTTAGTTGCTAGAATATTTAATTATATCACATCTACTTCCAAAAAATTGTAGGAGCTAAAAACTCACTGGAAAGCACATTGTTAATTAGTTATTAACGTGTATGCTACAATAGGTAGGTTATTTAGTTAAACCACTCCCCAAAATGTTTTAAGAAATTTTGCCCCCTGGCACTATTCCTTAAAGAAAATATTGTTCTTTTAATTGTAGAAATAGTGCCAATGCAATATTTCCTGTTCAAAGCAAATTGATGACATTTTATTTATTTATTTATTTATTTATTTATTTATTTATTTTTTGAGACGTAGTTTCACTCTTGTTACCCAGGCTGGAGTGCAATGGTGCGATCTCGGCTCACCGCAACCTCTGCCTCCTGGGTTCAAGCAATTCTCCTACCTCAGCCTCCTGAGTAGCTGGGAGTACAGGCACGTGCCACCATGCCCAGCTAATTTTTTGTATTTTTAGTAGAGACGGGGTTTCACCACGTTGACCAGGATGGTCTCGATCTCTCGACCTCGTGATCCACCCACCTCGGCCTCCCAAAGTGCTGGCATTACAGGCTTGAGCCACTGCGCCCAGCCGATGACATTTTAAAAAGAAAAATTTCAAGTAAGACAATTATTGCTAAACTGAAGAAAAATGACATGAAAACTAGGAAAATGGCTCTGATTTTATTTTTATACTAAAAGAATAATATAATCAGTAATCTAAAAATAATTAAAACCAGATTAACAAAAAAATTGGTTTGTAATGTTTATATTTTCTTAATAGTTAGATGAATTAAATTATTCCTATTTTAAGGGGACTATTCTTTGATTGTTTACATTGGCTAATGACTGAAGTTCTGGTTAATATTCAATTTTCTCAATTTTTTTGTTCCTGCCCTAGCTCCCATCTCTGTCAGTCATACTACATACCAAACTCTCTGAATTTAAGCTCACTTCTTTATCTTTTTCTGAAGATGACATCAAATGATTTCTCTACTAACATACATTCCCTGGCATACTTCTCTTGGCTCACTAAAACCATTGTGAGTAGCCACAACATTGTGTTCATTACTTTTTGAAAATACTTTTCAGCACATATAAAATTATTGAATTTTAGGAAATAAGCAGAACTATAACATCCTGAGAAAACACAGAGACATCAAATATATGAGCACCACCATGCATCTGCAAATGTTTAAGCAAAATAGTAAAAGTGAGATCTGTGTTCTCATTATAAGGATAGCTATTTTAATAAACTCAAAAAACAACAACTGGATCTTAAAAGAACAAAATGAAAAAGTCATTTTGTCCCATTACATGTTATATCTTCCTGTCAACCATTTTATAAGATAGAAATGTTAGGGTTGGCTCACACCTGTCATCTAAGCAGTTTGGGAGTCCGAGGCCAGAGGAACGCTTGAGGCCAGAAGTTCAAGACCAATCTGGGCAACATAGCAAGACCCTATCCCTACAAAAAAAATTAAAATTATTGGACATGGTCATACAATCCTGTTAGTCCTAGCTATTTGGGAAGCTGAGGCAAGAGGATCCCTTATCCTAGGATTTGGAGGCTGCAGTGAGCTATAATCATACTACTGCACTCCAGCCTGGGTGATAGGACAAGAGTCTATCTCAAAAAAAAAAAAAAAAAAAAAAAAAAGCACTCAAATTTCTGATATGATAAGCAAAACTACTGATGGGATCAATAAAGCAGACGACACTCTGATATTAAAATAAGCAAAGAGATTGTAAGTTTAGAAACTAGGGGATCAATCTACTATACAATCATTACATCTGCATCTGCCAATAAACCTAAAGCTTAACTTTATAGATAGCCAAATTTGTTCTCCTTAAAATGGACCACTTCTTTATTTAAAGCATTTGTGTATTTTTCTGCACTAAAATGGTTATGCTAGCATTCAAATTCCTTATAATATATGAGACTTCCACCTGTGTCCCAAATGTCCACAAAGAGGAAGAATGTGGACTATTGTTTGAATACAACCACGATCACAGCATTGAAGAGTATATGACAGAGATTTAATATGGCCTTTCAATAGAGTGGGACAGAGTCTAATATTAATTTTCTAAAAAATTCCCCTCTAGGAAATATCAACCTTGGATACAATAATTACAAACCCTACTAAAAACCAAGTAATATTTTCTCAATTCTGAAAATTGTCCAAAAAGTGTTAACTCTCTCGTCAGAAAAACACTGCATGGCTGTCAAGCCAAACAAAGACTCAGCAATACCATAGTTAAGAATTATAATTGAAACTTAGGTCACAATAAATCACACCAACTTACCATATAATTATTCCAGTTCTATTTTTAATCCTATTAAAGACTGTTATTACAATGATATAATTACAGCCCCCCAATACTCCATACCTGGAATGTGGCAGCTTCTGGAGCTTTTGGATCAATTTTACTCAGCTCATTGGACAAGTGCCAACTGGTATTACCAATGGTATCTAAAGTTGTGAAAACTCAACAAAGCTTTAAAAACCTTTAGAAACAATAGCTCATTGGGATCTCTAAAGGGTACTGTTACATCCTGAAGACAAACATTCTCATTTTCTTTCTACTGCAGGTTTCTTTTTCTGCCTGCACTTTCTTTGAGGTTGCAGTAGAGTGTGTGTGTCTATAGAAGGTACTGTATGCATAGCTATGAGGAGGTCTTACCCTCTGTCTTTTTATCTTTCTGGGTCCTTCCTCTCTACCCTTGTTCTTCCTCTTCTCCTCTCTTAATTCTATAATGGGTCTCTCCACATGTTGCTGCATCTTCTCATGTTAATTGAATATAATTTTGATACTTAATCTGAAAAAACTGATAAGTGAAAACATTTGTTTTATCATATATTAAGTGCTTTAGTCAACTATATTAATTTCACATATTTTAAAGTTATATAACTTTTAGCTAAATTTTTGGAGAGGTTTTTGGTTAGAATTGTTTGAAATAATTTCCCTATCTTTGCTTTTATTAAAGATAATAGGGCCAGGTGCAGTGACTCACACCTGCAATCCCAGCCCTTTGGGAGGCCAAGGCAGGTGGATCATGAGGTCAATATTGAGACGATCCTGGCCAACATGGTGAAACCCAGTCTCTACTGAAAAATACAAAAATTAGCTGGGCATGGTGGCACATGTCTGTAGTCCCAGCTACTTGGGAGGTTCAGGCAGGAGAACTGCTTGAACCTGGGAAGCAGAGGTTGTAGTGAGCCAAGATCGCACCATTGCACTCCAGCATAGGTAACAAAGCGAGACTATGTCTCAAAAAAAAAAGAAAAAAAAAAGATAATAGAGAAAAAAGGAAACAAATGGGCAAAATAATTTGGGAAGAATGTAAGTCTGTTGCTAGCAAGTTTCCAGCTTTAACCTGTAACCAGTGGTTAGGCAGTTTTTTGTTGTTGTTGTTCTGTCAGGGGAATGTTTGAACCTGGGCTGTGTCAATACAAGACAAAATGAAGTACGACAAAAAAAAAAAAAAAAAAAAAAAAGACAGCCTACGTTCAAGTTCATCAATTTCAGAAAAAGTGCTGGGCAGCAATGCCAAATTTTTATCAGCTGTCCAATTGCTTCAGCCATGATGCATGAACAGCAAACTCCTAAGTGCTGCAGGTAATGTTTGAAAGTAGAACTTATTCCTCTTCCCAAAGTAGATGGGCGTTCCCTAACTCCCCACTTCCCTATACTAAACACAATCTTGGAAAGATGCTAATCACCCGAGGTGAATCAGCCCAAAGGCAGGCAGCATATAGGAAGGGAAACTCAAACCTAGACGGTCAATCTTTAAATGATCCAGTACTGACTAGACAGGTTTAATTTTCAAACAGAATCATGCACTGGTCATTTTCTCCTGTTGCAGGTCTACTTTTAATTCTCAAGTCTTCCCAGAGAGCAGCAGACACAGCAATACAACCTGATTCAAAACTCAAATCTGTGCTGCCCTAACAGGCTTGAAGGTAAGTTGGATCATATCTAGTTGCCTCTCAAGAGAGAAGCAGGGCATGCTGAGCCACCTCAGCCCCACCTCATATCCAGAGACTCATATGGGTGCTAAGCTGGCTGTTGAACCACCACCAGCAGTAGAATTTATCAAATGCATTGAACAAGGGCTGATTGGGAGCCACATCTTACCTACCCTACTAGTTTTCTAGGAGTTAGGAAGGAACTGGTGGGGATAAGATTCTTAAAATATACGGAGACATCAAAAACATTGTTAGGCCCTCAGATTGAGCTGGTTCTGCTAACACACTGCATGATATGTAAGCAGATGCATTGATGTTTGCTCATTAAAATCTATACATTATGTAGTAAAATGAAATCTCCCAGCTTAGACTTTACCCCTACTTTAGTCCTTCTCCAACATTGTAGCCAAGGTAATCTTAAATTCACCATCTAAGTATTGCCTTTTCTCTGCTTTAAAAACACTTCTTGTTCACAGCAGCAGCTTCCTGTTGATAATGAGAATCAGCTGTGGAACTTTACTAAAAATTCAAATTCTTCAACTGTTCCCAGAGATTCTGATTCCATGGTTGTAGGGTGGGGAACTCAGGAACCTGAATTTTTAAATTACAGGCCATGTTTGAGACCTGCTGCTTTATAGTTCTTCCAAATGCTTTTTGCATATTTAGTTCATGTGAGTCACACATTGACTGCTGAAAAAGGTCCGTGAGACTAGATCTGGTAATCCCTGAGAAGTGATGTGTGCGTTTCACACACGTGTGCAAAGAACAGGCACTGTTTAAAACTGCCAGTGTTTTATGTTTCAGATGCCTCAGCCCTTGCCTCAGCAGCTAACGATATAACGTGCATGGGATGTAAAGCTACCAGATGGTGGAGCCTCCAGCAGTCAGGATACCTGAGTAACTATATGGATCAGGGCCCCTGCTCCCAATACAACCCAGAATTGGATATGTAAGATGAACAAGAAGTACATCAAGAAGTAAACACCTATTTCAGTAAGTCAGTTAGGTTTAGAGGTTCATTTAGCATCAGAGCATAAGCTTAGTCTATCTTGACTGACAGGAGGTTTTGCAAATGATTAAGTTACATTTTTAATGATATGTTAATATACTAACAACCTTGTTAATGATTTTGCTTTTCAATGTCTCTTGCCATGTCTCTATCCTGAAAAGTATTCTGAGATTGCAAAACTATTCATTTACCTTTTGTGTATGCAAATAAGGATTTTCTTAATATAATACAACCAGAGGAAAAAACAATGAAAGCAAAATGGGGAGAATGCTGAGTTGCTAAAGCTAAAAAGAATCTCCTGATCATTTATACTCCCAGTTTAAAAATTTAGTTTCCTATCAGCCTTATTCTCTCAATAAGTATCTTTATAATCAGAAAATGTAAATTTGAGCTTGTAAAACAAATTTAGGCTCGTAAATGCCATTTTTATGTTTACATATTATGTCTCCCATAAAAGTACACTAGAAAATGGTTGAAAATAATTACTTTTAGGGCTACAAAGAATACATCTCAATTGTCTTTCACACGATACCCTTAACAGACTACTAGCAACCTTAACCGTAGGATGTGGGTGGGGCCTTGGTGTTTATCTAGTGAAGCCCTTCATTTTTATAGATTGGGTAACCAAGGCCTAGAGAGGTCAAGTGTATCTCTCAAGGTCACATACTGGGAAAAGAACAGAGCCAGAACTCAGGGTTTGCCCACTTCATGTGGAAGTGCTGTCACATGAAGTTTCCCTCCATCTTTTACTCAAGCAATTAACTTACTCTCTCAATTCACCCAAACATTTGGTTAATGTGGCATGATTTCCCACAAAGTGTTTTCCAGCTGTGAAAGCTAGGTCAAACTATTTACTTATTTACTTATGTAGCTTTCTTAGTTTATTATTATTATTATTATTATTCCGAGACAGAGTTTCGCCCTGTTGCCCAGGCTGGAGTGCAGTGGCACAATCTCAGCTCACTGCAACCTCCACCTCCCGGATTCAAACGATTCTCCTGACTCAGCCTCTACAGTAGCTAGGCCTACAGGCACCTGCCATCATGCCTGGCTAATTTTTGTATTTTTAGTAGGAGTGGGGTTTCACCACATAGGCCAGGCTAGTCTTGAATTCCTGACCTTGTAATCCGCCCACCTTGGCCTTCCAAAGTGCTGGGATTACAGGTGTGAGCTACCGAGCCCAGCAGAAATGTAGCTTTCTAATTTGTAAAATAACAGCAAATAGTGCTTAACTTGGAGTTCTTCTATGATTTAGGAAGGATATGACATATGTACAGTGTTAGGCCCATTGTTCTATGGCCTTAAATGAAAAAATTTGGATTTATTCCCTTCAGATTTCAGCCTGTTCTTCTAGACCAGGGAACAGCAAACTATGGCCCGTGAACCAAATCTGGCCTGCCACCTGTTTTTATAAATTCTGTTTTATTTGAACACAGCCATGCCCATTCATTTGTGTATTGTCTATGGCTGGTTTGGGACTATACCAACAGAGGTGACTAGTGTGACTAGACTTTATGGCCCCAAAAGCCTAAAATATTTGCTCCCTGGCCCTTTTCAGAAACGTTCTGTTAGACTATATTCCAAACTGCTGAGGTCATTTTGATTCTTTCACCCATAGTGTCATTCAGGATCCCTAATTACTGAGTCAACCACAAATTTGCCTCTGTTAAGGTTGTTCAGAAAAATATTTAATGAAACATGGACAAGGAAAGTCACAAGACACAGGTCAAGTGACTACCTTCAAGGTTGACAATGACTACCACTCATTGAACACATTAATCTAAAGAAGTATGAATCCACAAAATGCTACTATCACCTAGAACTCATTTATCAACAATGCCACATATTAGTTAAATATCTTTCTAATATGCAAAAGATGAGGTACAGACTCCAAATGATCACTGTTTTCCCCTCTGAAGTGGTTTCAAGTCTATGATGTTTCTATATCCCTCAACTCCATTTCAACCCCATTTTTGAAATTTGGATTATCTACTTAAACTACAGTTTTCTGGCAGATCTCTCATTATCCAGAATGAGATACAGAATGGCTAGCTGTCACCAAACCTGATTCTTCTTTTTTCTGGGCATATAGTGACACTCTATTTCCCAGATTCCTTTTTGAGCAGTGGTGCTCAAGTGATCGTTTTTTAGCTAATGGAAGGACTGCAAAAATGATGTGTGCTATTTCCAGGCCTGGCCAAAGAGAGCTCCTATTGTGATCTCCATGTTCTTTTCTTTTCACATACTTGTAGCAGATAAATATGGTGACTTTAGAAGCATTTATTAAATATGACAGAGCCTTGAGATAGAAGGTACCTGGGTTCTTGAATCCACCATTAGAGGAAAGCCACCACCTCCCAGGAGCTCCAAATATAGGCTTAAACAAGAATAAACTTCTCTTGTATTTAAGCTATCTTATGTATTTGAGGTTTGTTACAGGAGGGAGTATAATTGTCAAAAATATACTATGATTCTAGTAAGATTATTACCAAAGGTTTTGTGACCACATAGGAAAATACTCTGGTTTTCTGGACCAAGAGGTTTCAATTCATGTAAAGTAGATGTAGGTGTTCTTTCACTGTATCCCTGTGTGCCTTAGCCTATGAATTTCTATTTTACAGTATTTCTTTTGTACTTTCTTGTAGTTCATTCTTCTTAATTGAGAAAAATAAAGCAAAACTGAGGCTGAGTGTGACTGTACACACCTAGAGTCACAGCTACTTGGAACACTGAGCTGGGAGGATCTCCTGAGCTCAGGAGTTCAAGCCTAGCCAGGGCAATATGGCAAGACCCCATCTCTAAAAAAAAAAAAAAAAAATAGCTAAATAGATATTATACTTACTCTGTCTTTTAATAAACTGTTAAACAACACAAGCCCACCCATCCCTCTTGCCTTTATTGTAGGACTTTCCTTTTCACTAGTTTTTTTTTAGTGTTTCTATAACCTCACTCTGTATTTTGTCCCTGATAATGTGTCCTCTTTTGTTTCTTTTAAGAACAATGTTCAGAAAACAACTTGTCAGATCACATTGGTTTCTCCCCATTTTGCTTTCTTATTAAGATTATTCATAGCCTTCTTTGCCAGAGTTTGATTTTTTGGGTATATAAACAACACTTACATTAAGAAACCCTATTCTAGTAGATGTAGAGAAAGATTCATCACTCCCATAATTACCTCATGCCTCTGGCAACTTTTGTAGTCTGTTTGTAAAAAGCCTTATTCCATCCTGTATCTAGATAAAATATTCAATACTTTTTAACACTTGTATTTTAGTATGCTGTACATGGAGATAACATGCTTTTACTGATCCTGATGCCTCTCCATCTTATTTACAGAGAGGATGCAGGGCAGGCTGTTGACACTTCCTGACATATCTTTCTGGGCTTGCATTTTCAGCCCCACATTTTCACTTACTAGCTTCAAAAGCTATGAGGTCCCATTCAAGATACCCTACTCTCTAAAGTCCTCTTTATGCCAGTTTGCCTTAGCTTCAATTGGCACAGAAAAAATTGGGGACTGAAAGATGTGATTGTAAGCTCATATGGCAAACAGGAGAAGATAGCTGTGTGCAAAATAGTGTATGGCTAACAGAATGATGTTTCTTTAGCTAGCAAATTTGTATGCTGTGAATGACATTAGCATGATGGCATGTACTTGACAACTTGTAGAGTTATACTGCCATCTATGTAGATGCTTTTTAAAAATTTCAGTAAAAAATACGGAAGTGAGTTTCACCTCAGTGAATTTCTACAACGTGCAAATTAGCTTATCATAAATAAATGAAGTAAATTTACTTTATATTATGTATATTTTCTAGTTTGATTTTGGAACTAGTAAAAAGCATGCTATGTATTCTTTCAAGTATTGTAATCAAACATAGGGTATACTTGTTAAAAACAAAGTTGTAACTATTTCTGCAATAATTTGAACATTGAATCACTGGCAAAACTTGAATTTCAAAATTTTTAATTTGTCTTTCTCAGATGTAATTTAAATATAATCAGCTTAAGATGTTTCTAAAAAATGATTTGCAAAGAAACAAATGTTATTTTTATGCTATCAAAGTTACTTTCCAAAGTAAAGATTATGTGTTATTCACACTTTAAATATATATACTTATTTATATTATTATTAAATAGAGGATTCCTCTGCCATTCTCACTACTTTCTCCTCAAAAGAGGAGACCATATGTTTTAGATATAATAAAAAGAGCTCTATACAGAGGCCTGCTTATCCTTAAGGTATCAATGACGATTATCTGCATTAATATGGGAAAAATCATAAGTATCATGAAAATATAAAATATAGTTCATTATATATGTGTATATATACATGTTCATTATGTATGTGTGTATATATATCTATAAACAAATATGAAAATATATGTATTGGTATAGATGCATAAATATATATATGCAAATATATATATTTTTTGCATTGGTTGTATGATATAGGAAGTCTTTAATAAATACGAACTATTTTCATTCCCCACAAATTTGATATTGTTTATAAGATAAAATATATGAAATTATTCTTTGTTTATACTATTAACACCCTGTTAATAGTATAAGCAAAGAAAGAAAAAGAAACAAGGAGAAATATTTCCTTGTTAAATATCATTGCCTTTTCCTTGATATACCAGAGATAAACCAAAGTAAGATATTCACCATCTTGGAATTCTTGGCAGTGGCAGATGGCAGGGAGGTTATAAGATTTTTACTTGCTCCCAAAGGACACTGTGACTATGTTGATTATACTTATCTTAACATACTAATTTTTTGTTTATGTGTCTGTCTCTGAGAATGGAAACCATTAATATAGCTGTCTACATTAACACGACCTTACACTCTACTGTCTCCTAGTTTATTCTACGAGCTTCTGGAATTCTTCAATATTTATTGAAGAATTGCATATCTAGTGTAATTCTAGAATTGCACAAAAATCTAGTGTATAAACTATTGATTAATGCTTTCTATTGAATATAAATTCTTCAATTGATATTATTGACATCAACTGATTTTCTTCAATATCAATTCTGTAGTGTCTAGAGTATACTCTTAGGGATACCTGATTCTGATTTGATAGGAGCTAATTTACAACTCTATAAATTATAAAAGCTGATAGCAAGGCAAAACAATTTTTGTCTATAAACAAATACATTCTTGTGTATGCAAATTCTTCCCAATGGACTGAATTGACTCTTTTCCCCAACATTGGAAGAATGTGCTTTCGTCTGTACTTTCATTTCAGTCATCTTGATCTATAAATATGTCTGGTTTTTGAGTTATCCTTTGAACTATCTGTAACATCTTACTGGTTCCTTCATTAAAGAATTTTATAAAATATTTAACACATGTTAATCTTTATGTCTTAGTCTTGTGTTTTTTGGGGAAAAGTTTCCTTGAATGGTACTCGTTTTATTTCACTGTAGAACCCATTTTGGATATATTTACACACACACACACACACACACACACACACACACTCACACACACACATTAAAGCTCTTTCTTTTGATATAATATAATTTTAAAATAGCAAAAGGGAATAAAATTGTTGCTATGTTTATTAATTGTTTGGGATAACAAGACATTACATCATGGTCCTACAGTAGTAGAAGAATTTTAGGTATCTTGAAATGTTATTATATTTTATAATCATGAACAATCTTTATCAGTAGCAACAAGGTTAGGAGAAACAACAAATTATTTTAATTACAATTCCCTAGCCAAGGATAATAATATTGTGCTGTAGCAAAATAAACAAGCTGAGGAGCAGAGGGGTATCTGGAACATGTTTGCAGTATGCCAAAGGAATGATTATGATTTGACTACCAGGTTTTGCTTGTACTCACTGAGGGCTAATGAGCAATGGAGAGAATTTTAT